GTAATGCTGATATTTCATAAGTGAAACAACACCAGAGCACAATAAGCAAATTCGTTTACATCTTGGGTAACAGCGGATATCATGGACTACACTTATTTTAAGCCTAAAAGTGAACAACACGAGGATTGATCTCTATGCTCCACCTACCTCTTACAATACAACTACATTTAATTTATGTTTTATTTTTCTCCTTAATTCCTTCTAGCATCAAAGCTCTTGTTTAACCTGTGTTCCAGCATTTCAATAGCTTCCGGGTAGCAATTTTGTCCGACTACTGAAGAACAACATCACCTATTGCATATTTTACCTGTTGCTTACTCGAGTTCTTTTGTGGTGAATGCTGTTTTGATCATGGAAATATACTGACATAGAAAAAGAACACCCAATAATAACGAATTTATCACAACAATGGTATACATGTCAATTAGGGTTAGATAAGTAACTGATCAGAATTATAAAAAATCCAACCTTTATCCAGAATGTAAAAAATTGATGATTTGTTGCATATGATGCAGGTAGTTTTTGACCATTTAATTAAAACGGGTACTAGTAGCATCGTGTCGTAAGATATTCTATGCCAGAAAAGTCTATCTAAGAGATCATAATAACGAGCTATACGGCCCTAGAACAGTCTTTGGAGGTCTGCGTCAAGGTTCAGTCTTGAGTCTTCTGCTTTTTCATATATACGTTACGTGGCGAATTTGCACTCAAGATATCTGCGTGAATGCAAGCCGTAAGGAATACCAGGAATGAATAAATGATCTTATATGCAAGCCCTAGAATCGGTAAGTTTAAGGTTAGACAATATGGGATTTATGATGTCAGCCGTTAAATCTGTCATTATTTACTTCACGAGACATCGATTCACACCACCAAATGTAGTGCGTGCCTCAGGGTGCCAAGGTATACTTCGATGTGTCTTGAGGAAGTCATGGGGAGTAGCTTCGGCTGTAGCTATGAACTTTTACAGATCATTTATTCGTTCCAGTATCGACAATGGTTGTATTTTCTATGGCTCTGCTTCTAATTGATCATATCCAGTCATTGAGAATATGCTTTGGTGCAATGAAGTCATCTTGCAGAGCATTACTAGCTGAGTGTCATGAACCTCGATTAAACCTAAGAAGATTATTTTTTACTAAAAAATACACATTCAAGACTAAATCATACAGGAAAAAACGAAATTGTCTGACGGCATGATTTCATTGTGTACGAGAGAGAAGCGCGAGAAGTGTGTATCAACACATGTTAGAAAGGTCATCATCACATTGCCTAGCAACGGTAACGCAGAAGGTCGTACAATCTGCCGCGTTGCCAATATGTTACACCAGAAAATGTTCGCACATGCTTCTACAATAGGTTAGGTTACTGGCAACCCGACAGATTGCCGCATTAGCATTGCTAGGCAACGCAGTGGTCAGCTTCGCTATCCAGCCGGCTTCTATCTCTTTCCAACATATGTGTCTATATACACTTCTCTCTCGTACACACTGAACTCAAGCCGTTCGAGAAATTTGGTTCTCAGTGTATAACTCGTATAGCCGCAGTATATGTTGAAACTTACGCTGATATTAATTTCGTCTGTGCCTCATCTTCCCTCATTTTTTTATTGTAAATGTTTGACTTTCTCTACGGTTTCTGCATCCAATGATTTGTCATACAAGTCGCTTATATAATGTGACCAATAAATAAAAGTTGTACTTATACTTAATACATTGTTGTCGTAGCCTTCTAAGATCATTGGTTGTACTGTCAACAAGATTTATCAGATAAGCATATGCAACGAGATCAGCACATGGATCAACACTCATAATTGCTTGTTGGAAGGATGAAATTTGGCATATAGGTAGTTACAAAATTGTAGAGTATTCATTTGAAGCTTCTAGATGAAATACCAGCATTTCGACATTTTTAATCATTAATGTTTTGTAATGATATGTTCTCTTACAAATAAACGGATATAATCCTAATAGACTCAAAGTTATTCTCTAATTGTTATTGAAATATAATAGAGATTGCTTAGTGCAATTGAAAATCGTTCATACTTATTGTAAGCATAGTTTAGAGTAACTAACAGTATATTATCAATCGTTCAGTCTATATTTTAAAGTCTTTTGTTTTAAATATTAGTGAGATATTCTATTCGAGTACGTGCTCTACTCTTAACAATATCGACTTTCTAGTATCGTCCGGTCATTTGTTATGCCTAACATACTATAGTGTTACAGTCACCTTGAAAAAATGTTGACTTAGACTGTATGTATATCTCTTTTCAAAAAGGTGGTCTTAAAATTTGTTATTTCTGTAATTAACTCACAGTCGAAAAAAAAATAGTATAATAGGAAGGTTGTTTCAAAAACAAGGTTCCCACATTTTTTTCAGGTACAATGAATTTTTTATTTGAAAAATCGAATTTACCATTGGAAAAGTTGATCTTTAAGCTATTTTTCTACATGGTCGCCATGTTTTCTATGGACTATTTCAGACGTGAAATATACTCTTTCCCTCCGGCCTCAACGAAGTGCGTCGCCAACCCGCTTGGAAACTTGTTAAGTGCTCCTTGCAACTCCTCGTCCGTCTCGAACCGTTGGCCTCCTAGATGCTCCTTCAATTTAGGAAAATAGGGCTGCAAGCGGGATGGGCAATGACTTCCAGCCAAATCGCTCGACTCAGTAATTCTTTTGTTGTGAGACATGAGGATGAGCATTGTCGTGGTACAGTCTTACGCTTTGGAGAGTTTTCTCAGCGTTTTCAGAAACCCCAGGAATTTTAACCGCCTTCTCCTGGATCGTGATTCGGCGATCTTCGAGTAAGATTTGCTCAATCTTCGCCATAACTTCCTCGGAGATCGACGGCCTCCCGCTTCGTTGTTCATCGCGGATGTCCATGCGGCCGTCAAAGAACTCTATTCACGATTTGAGGACATGTTGAATGCTTATACACGTTTTCCACATACTTCACTCAACTGGTGATCAATTTCTATGGATGGCAACGTTCTTGCGTGCAAAAATTGGTTGACCGCACGAATTTGGCACCTGTCGGTGACGTCGATGGTATGTGAACCAACAAACACGACGGTGTTACCAGATTTCGCCTAGCATCACGCGCGGCAAAGTTACAGCTTTGGGCACCTTATTTTTGAAACATCTCTCGTATATTAGGGTCGTCTCATGAACGTTAAGTGTCTTTGTTGGCGAACCATGCAATTGGTGCATACGCGTAGGATAACTTATTATACAGGGTGTCCCAATATTCCGTGGACATAGAAGAGTTGATTGGACATGATTTACCTCCATTCAAAAGAGCTTCGTTTGACCGCTAGAGAGGGCATCAAAGTTTTCTTTTTAAAACACATTTTTTGAGATATCTTAAGAATCTATAGCCCGATTCGTATGAAAGTTGGAGCACATACGTTTTGCTAGGCGTCATAATAGTTGACTTTTATGAAAAACTTTGAAGGGTTCGAGAAGGGTGAAAACTACCCTTACCGATACATAAATAATAGCAAACATTTTTGGCGACTTCCCAACTACTCTGAATTCTTTTATTTGGCAGATCTTTTGATTTACTTCAGTTTTTGTCTTTTATAGGATAGTTTACGAAAAAAAAAAATGAGTTGCATCTAGAGGTTCCCAAGCGTCTTATATATTCTTTAAGTGTAGTTAGCCAAAATAAACAAGTACGATATTACTTATTACAATTTTATTTTATTACAGGCAAAAGTGCGAATCTTTTATATGACCACCATAACAATAATGCGCGTTGTCTATCTGAATCTCGTATACCTTTGTCTATAATGCTCCCCATATAAAAAATCTCAAGGATTAAGATCCTGGAAACGAGGTGACTATTGTATAGGAGCTTCTTGACTTCTACCAATCCATGTACTAGCAAATTTATCGTTCAAGTAATTTCTTACAGCATGCGCAAAGTGAGGTGGAGCATCATCATGCATAAAAAATATGCCGCTTCTTACTTATGTAAAACGTATCATAGAAAATGAAGATAGCTATCTTCGTTTAATTTATTCTTTATTTATTGAGAAAAACAAGCAACAACAACAACTCAACCAAACATAATTTCAAACGTTAATCAACTTAAAATTTATGAAAAAGAAACAACATATTAACAATCCAAAATAAACTTAAGCATTACTTATTATTTTATCTCAAGGATTAAGATCCTGGCAACGAGGTGACCATTAAATAAGAGCTCCTTGACCTCTACCAATCCATGTACTTTCAAATTTCTTGTTCAAGTAACTTCTTACAGCACGCGCAAAGTGAGGTGGAGCATCATCATGTATAAAAAATATGCCTCTTCTTACCTATGTAAAACGTATCATAGAAAATGAAGATAGCTTTCTCCGTTTAATTTATTATTTACTTATTGAGAAAAACAAGCAACAGCAACAATTAAACTAAACATAATTTCAAACGTTAATCAACTTAAAGTGTATGAAGAACAAACAACATATTCACAATCAAAAATAAACTTAAACATTACTTATTAACTCAATCTTTATGAAGCTTGTTGTCAAAAATACTCTGACACTGACAATAACATCCCTCATTTCCGCTAACTAGATGCCTACACATTTTTTAGAAACCAGCTCCGAAAAACATTTTTTTTAAGTAAACTGTTCTTTTAAATAAAAAAATTCAGAGCCGTTGGGAGAGTTGCGAAGAAATTCTGCTATAGTCTGTGTAGGGGTGGGGGTAGTTTTCACCGTCCTCAAACCCTTTCGGTTTTTTTAAAGTCGATATTAGGATGTTTAACAAAATACATGTGCTCCAAATTTCATTCAAATTGGACGATCGGTTCCAAAAATATATGAAAAAAATGTGTATTAAAAAGAACACTTTTCCACAAAGATAAATTATGTTCAATCGACTTATTTTGAATCTAAAAATACGTGGTACTTCTGTGTCCATGGAATATTTGGACATCCTATATGTAGTGCATACTGATACATAGTGCTTTATAGAAAAGTCACCCTCCCCTACTTATTTTTTGAACTGGTTAAGAAAGGATGTTGAGATTCATAGTAATAACATTGATGCTTGAATACTATATTTTAGTGCAAAAGTGACAGTTGATAATTTCAAAATGACTGCTAGGCATGTTGGAACATTTTTTTGAATGGAGTGACGATTGATGTGACACCTAATGTTGAAGCCTCTCATATGCATAACCCTAGGATATGAGAACACTGTCTTTCAAAATGGTTGACAAACGATGCTGTAATATTCTTCTCTTGGAAGCATCTATCCTAATATGTAATAAAATATGGAACATTCCGTTAAAAAAATTGTCGAAATCTACCAACATTTTTCTTAAACCAAGTGTTCCATGTTTTATCGCATATTCAGATAGATCCTACCAGAAGTAGAAGATTGATATAACATGCTATAACATTTTGATGATTAGTTGTTGAGTTATAAACGATCCATTTTACAAAAAAGCTAGACCTTGACAGCCTACCAGTCCGCCATTTTGTAAGATAATGAATTATTATCTAATAATTTAGCTTTCGTTTTTCCGACCACACACGGCCAGCCACCACGAAAGCTGAACATCCCTGTGGCACTTTGTGAGGCATTTTGTTAAAAGGGCATAAGTCATTTTTTTGACTCGACAATTCAGTGAAATTGTATCAGTAGTTGTATAGAGCAAATTTAAAAAAAATTCGCCTGCAACTTATGATGGGGTTTTATTTTTCGGCCAGACAAGCATGGATGATTAAAATTAAATATGTCTTATTTTGAAAAGCCCTTTTAGCTGAATACCTCAGAACGGTCCTCTATCTACTATAGCACAAGAATCGGTGGCATCTAGCAGTCACAGTGGTAACCTGTCGACCGGTTTGCAAAATATTGCGTTAATAGGCTACACTATGAGCATTTTTTAGCTTACGTGAGGCCGAGCGTTATCGTGAAGCGGAATAACGCCGCCAGAGAGCAGGCCCTGCCGACTGCGGCTTTGAATTCAACAAGCTGCTGGTAAATTTCAGCAGGAGGAACTTTTTTTGCGGTAAAAACCAAATTACTGAGTGCACTTCACAGGTGGCTGACTTACTGACTGGCATGGCGACAAACAAAGCTATATTGCTTGGTTTAACAACCTCACTACCAACACTGACAGAGACGTGAAACGTAATGGCAGCATGGTGAGAGACTGGCCAAGGGTGTCTGAAGTTGAACAGACGTCACGTGACAGGATGCACGAACGCGATGCGCAATCGATTCCTACTTTTAACTTGGCCCTCGTAGAAAACGCAACATTCGTTACATGCAGTTGCACCAACTTACGAGCTAGCACCGTGTTGATTTTGAAACTTAAGACTTATTGACAGAAGTAATGTATGTGAAACAGGTTATACCTATTGTGCTGTGCTACGATATCCAGCAACTGAGCTAAGCAGCGTTAGCTGATACCAGCTAGATGCAACTGAACAAAACATTATCTTGGCTGAAGACATACCTTAAATTTGATATCAGTAGAAGTGATTTTTAACCTCTATACGTACTCCCACTTAGAACTATCATGGCAGAAGCAACAGCCAGTAAGTTGCTTCTTCTCTAAAAGAAATGCTAACGGTCAGAGTAAGCACTCCATTTCATAACGGCTATCTACGATACCATTATTTTTTTGTACCAAATCATGAGGGTCAAATGTTCAGTTTTTGAGATACGATCTTTGGCTTTTTTTTAATACACGTATTTTAAAATACCCGAACACTCCAAAAGCTTGGCAACCACGCATTTTTTCGATGAAAGCTTCTAAGAAAAGTTTCAGGATATGTGAAAAGCAATTTGTCGCTGACCTCGAGTATGACTTCAGAGATCATTTTGTGAATTGTCTTCCATGAGGTCAAGCGTTCATCAGTTTTTCAATCTATAGGACTTATGTGTAATTTGATGTGGAATCTTGCTTGATTGGCGACAGGCAGTGTGGTTTCCGGCACCAGCGATCTGCAGGGGACCTCCTAGCTTACGTCACGCATCTGTGGAGTGAACTCATTCAGTCTTATGGTGAGGCTCATGTCGTTGCTCTTGACATCACGAAAGCGTTCAATCAGCTATGGCATGCTGACGTCCTATGCCAACTTCCATCCTATGGCGTCCCAGAGGATCGTTGGAGATGGGTGGCTGACTTTCTCTCTGGCCGCAAGATATCCATCGTAATTGACGGGTTCTCACGACAGCGCAGGTGGCTCCAACATTGTTCCTCTTACATATCAACGACGTCGTTTCCTGTACGACCAATCCAATCCACAGCTTTGCTGATGACAGCATTTCATAGTGACAAGCCTATCTCTGCCGGTGAGCTGGAGAAAAGAGACAATCAGCGACTTCCTTTCTGACGAGAGACGTGGAGGTTATCACTGCTTGGGGACGCAACAATCTTGTACAATTTAGTGCTTCCAAAACACAGTACTGCACCTTAACGCACAAAAGGCGTCCTAGCGCTCATCATTCATTTCGGCTGGTCGGAGTCCAAATCACCGAGCACTTGATCTGATACGAACTCATCTCGTTCATAGCGGCAGCTGCTGGGCTAAGAATTACTATTCTCCACATGACCTCCTCAATCTGTAAATGGCCCAGATAAAACCTAGCCTCGAGTATTGCTCACATATTTGGGATGCTGCCGCCCCGACTACGTTATCCATGCTTGATGCTGTTCAGAGGAGGACTGTCCGAGTTATCGATGACTCCTCTCTAACGCACAGTTTCGGGACCCTTTCGCAGAACTCTCCTCCGCGTGATGTGCCTGTCAGACAGACCCGCCTGACTTCGGCCTCCCTGCCTAACCGTGTTGACCTTAGTACATCCAGAACTGGCCGATACGTCATCTTTGTCCATAGGATATCGAGATTGTGGAACAATTTACATGAGGACGCTTTTCCCAGTTTTATTAAGCTTAGGCAGTCAAATATCGGATTAACAAACTTTCTTTAAGCCTCCAAATGACCGCTGTGGTCGACAAATTGATTTTTCTATATGATAAAATTTCCACAAAATGCATGGTTGCCAAGGTTTTGGGCTGTTCGGGTATTAAATAACATATTTGATTTAACGCAAGCATACTGTTGTCTTTTTTATCGTGTCACTATTCCAAAGATAGGCTCATTCATTTTAATCTTTTGAAGACTTATGCGATAAAAATATCTCAATAGAAGCATACTTTCTCGATCAGTCATAATTTCTACTATTTCTAATACTGTCTTATATTGTCATGAAATGACAAGACTACATTCACAATCAAAAGATCAGGAACAGTTTAGTCTGAGTAATACTCAACATTATTGTGACATACGTAGGATATTCAAACAATGTCCATATTATATTACCACTAATCTAGAGTATTTTATAAGTATGGCCAAGAAACAGCTCTTGGATTTCAAATTGAATATACTACATGTAAGAAAGGCAATGTGTGATTTTCAATGGCTTTTGGCCTCATTTTTTGGTCCCGCGGTCAGCGATTCTGTTTCTTTGACTAACGTAGTCAAAAATCCAAACTTATTTGGAAGAGATACGAGTATAGCGCTAAGTGTCAACAATTCCGAGATTTTGAACCTTGAAGTTAATTTTCAAATCTTTTTCCGGGATATAAGTGCTATAACACCTGGCATAGGTAGAAAAATAATGGGGTAGCCTGAATTTTATTATACTCAGTAACAAAGAAAATAGAATACCCAGTGAAAATGATTTCATTTGAATACAATCTTGGATTCAGTCAGACATAAGGCCCTGAATGCCGCAGTGTAAACCGATGTCATTTATACAGATATTAGTAAAGCATTCGATAGGTTGAACCTTAAGCTGCAACTAGCAAAACTTGATAGAATGGGCTTTTCAGATGTTTTGGTATACCTTTTGAAATCCTATCTGTCCAACCGTGAGCTGTTTGTGGAATTCAAGGGAAACAAATCTCAACTCAGTCTTCATCAGGAGTCCACAGGGATCATTGTTAGGACCACTTATTTTCATTATTTTTATCAACGACATTTCTGACGTTATTGATTGCATCTTTCTGTTATATGCCGATGATCTGAAAATTTATACCCTGGTTAGCAATAGTACCGAATGCGAACGTCTCCAAGATAATCTCGACCGGATACTAATTTGGTGCGATAATAATAATCTATGCATCTAAGTCTATCAGCATGACGTTTTCTAGGAAACAACGTCCAATAGAATATCATTATAAGGTTAATCAAACAACACTGCCAAATGTAAGAGAATTCAAAGATCTTGAAGTCATCTTTGACACAACGCTCTGTTTCAATCCGCATTCAAATTATCTTCTAAATTCTGGAAATAAAAGTTTGAGTTTTGTGTTGCGCAACTCTCATTATTCTGATAGTATAAAGGCTCTATTCATGTTATACAATGCTTTTGCGATGTCAAAACATGAATACGCTAGAATTATTTGGAATCCCTGCTACGTGACGCCTTTTGACTTATTAGAAAATATTCAACGCAAGTTTCTGAAATATCTGCTCGACAGGGTAGATGGTATTTATCCGGAAATAGATGTTCCTCAAGATATATTGTTAAAAAGGCACGATACGCTAAATTTAGACCACATAAGAAAAATGCACTCGTTAATATAATATAATAATACAAGGTTATTCACAACCAATAGAAACACTCGAACGTTTTATTTACCAACTCCCAGGAACAACGTGTAACTGTTTGAACAATGTAAGAAACAGAACTGATATATTTGATACCAGTGTGACCTCTATTAAAATCCTCTACGGTTATATAATTGTGTAGTTTCGTGAATGTTATATTTCTCATATTTCTCATGTAGATGATGATGATGTTACTCCATGTTTGTGCTATGTAAACTCCCACCAATAATTGGTTGATCTGTTGGTGGTGTAAATGAATAAATAAAAATAAATAAATAAACGAAAGGAACTCGTGATTAAATTTTGAAGTGAAATCATTTACGGTACTGCTAGATTTTATATATTTTCGTTACATGTAAAGACTAGATTGGGTGATTTTTCGAAGCTGAATGACCATAATGGGTGCTTAACAAGAAAGTCGCTTGTTCTACAGGTTTGTTTATAAAAAATGCAGCCAGAATCAAACGGTTGCTAGGTTGTTCAGCACATTGCCAAACACCCTCAGGGCCAACTCACTATTTTCAAAATTGAACTAAAGGCACTATTGAAAAATAAAGCATATTGCTCTTTGGATGAGTACTTGTCAGATAACCTAATAAACGACCAAAATGTGTAATTCTCACAATACAAAATGAGTGATATTTTTTCTTCTTTCTTTTGCTATTTGTACATCCATCGTGGTGTATTTTTTGATTGTGTATGCTACTGTAGTTAACAGTCAGAAAAACAAAAAAGGCATATTATCAACAAAAAATATCCAATTCGCACAACGTGATGAAGGGTGCCTGGAATGTGGTTTCTGACATAAACGGAAGAAATAGAGTATTAAAGAACATTGTACTGTATGATAATGGATTAACCATTAGAAATCCACAAAACATTTCTAATTATCTGAACAACTATTCTAAACAGGCTCCTTTGGATATTATTCAAAAAATATCTAAGGACACAAATCCAGTTCCAAGTGATCATGCCTGCGACAAAAAATATTTTATGCTTTCATACCCACTCTTGGAAGAAGAATTCTGTAAGCTAATTAATAATAAGTTAAAAAATAAGCGTTCTTCAGGCACCGATGAAGTTCTGAATTTCTTAGTCAAGAAAATTTTAGTGAACATAACCAAACCTGTTGTTTTTCTAGTTAATATATTATTCTGCACTGGTGTATTTCCAAACAAGCTAAAAACAGGAAAAGTAACTCCAATTCATAAGGAGATACTTCTTTGGTCAGCAATTACAGACCGGTGACTGTTCCATGCTGTTTTCCCAAGATCCTTGAGTAATGCTTTTTAGATCGACTTCTGCTGTTCTTGGAAACATGGTCTCCGTATTGGAAAATCAACCATGACCGCATGTCGTTCATTTATCAATAGGTTAGTCAACTGTAATGAGGCAGGAGAATGCCCTGCTGGGATATTTTTTGACCTCAGTAGGGCGTTCGACTGTGTCAGTCATGACATACTATTAGCCAAACTAACAGACTCTGGAATTGGTGGTTCAGCCTACCTGTGGATAAAATCGTACTTGCAGAATAGGTCACAATTCGTGGCAATAACACACAACAACGCTGGTCAACTGAAGCAGGTCAAATCGGATATGGTTAACATAAATATAGGCGTGCCACAAGGATCTATATTGGGGCCATTGCTGTTTTCCCTTTATATAAATAACCTGGAGCAATGTTTCCCTGAAGCACATTTCACGTTGTATGCAGACGATGCCTCCATCATTATATCAAATAAAGACGAGGCTGATTTAATAAATAAATGTAACACCTTAGTGTACAACATCAATAGCTGGTTTGAAGAAAATCAGTTACTTCTTAATAGCGAGAAAACCACAGTTATAAGATTACATAACGTTCAGAAGTCGATACCAGCGGTTCAGCTTGTT